TAGTCTCTATTATGTTTCTACTCGTGATAACAACAGCTTCACTTTTTTGTTGTGTTAATTGGTGCTTCATTGATCTCATCCAGCGATTAATTTTTCTCAAGGTTATGTTAAATAGACTTACGATGTCATCAATTTGTTTGGAAACAACTACTATGGCTACATCGTCTGCATATGCTACTAGTTTCACACATGCTGGAATCTCAAGTCTCAAAAGGCCATCATACATAATATTTCACAGTAATGGGCCTAGAACAGAGCCCTGCGGCACACCTCCTGTTATATTATTTTGTTTTGTACCTTCGCGTGAATCGTACATTAAAATTCTCTCTTTAAAGTAGCTTTCCGCTATATTGCAGAGGTATGCTGGCACGTTCTTGTCGCGGAGTGCATTCATAATGCAATCTCAGTTTGCAGAATTGAAAGCACTTTTTATATCCAATGTAGCTACAAGACAGTACTTTTTGGCACCCCCCTTCCATCTCGTTCCAGTAATTGCTTCCTTTTAGGTATTAACTACCAAGCTTATAGCATCGATAGTTGATCGCACTTTGCGAAAACCATACTGATTGTCTGCTAGAAGCGGATCAACTACTGCATCTATTCCTAGGTGAATTAATCTTTCAAACATTTTACCTGCTGTATCCAGCATGCATATCGGACGGTAGAATGTTGGTTTATCTGGTGGTTTTCTTTCTTTGGGAAAAGCACTAATTTTTGCTGTTTCAATTTTTGTAGAAAAACCCTTTCTTTTAGACATGTATTATAAGCATTAAGAAACATTGTTGGAGATGTCATAATTGATGTTTATAAGCTGATATTAGGAATTCCATCTAATCCCGGTGCCTTACTGTTTCCAACTCGATGACAAGCTTCCATCAGTTCTTGCAGTGTTATGGGTGGAATATTATTCAGTACTACATGTTCAGAATATTATTCAGTACTACATCGTTTTGCATCCTCTACTGTACGATTCTAGAATAAAATCTGCTATTGTTAACGGCGTTTTGGAAACAAAATTTGCCACAGGATCAAATAACAGCTTTGGTTGTTCTGTCCGTTTTCTATGGTTTCTATGGTCCGTTTTCTATGGTTTATGGTTGTATCAGTTAGTTGTTTGTAAGGTTCTGATAAGAGGGCAACATCAATTTTCATATCTCTTACCGTCTGCATAAGCAAGTCATGTGCAGCCTCACAATGATTCATGTTTAGCTGCTTCATATTTTTGTGTTCATTATTTTCTCCAAGACCTTCTTATATACAGGACATCTGTGAGTGCCGGCATGATGTGCTGTATTTTCAGTGTTTCTATTGCGCAGTGTGCACATTTTGCTTCATTTATACAGTTGGATATTTTGTGAACTGCTTTTCCACATCTCATACATAAATTAGTGCGATTCGCGTTGCTCTTGCACTGTGATCCATAATGTCCTATTTGTCAGCATTTGAAGCATCGAATTGGTTTCTTGACGGTTTTAATTTGACAGTTGACCCATCTAATTCGTATTTTGCTACTTGCTTTGAGCAGATCGTGTACACTTGCCGCTGAAAGAGCAACAGTTGCAATCCTACCTCTGTGCGCCTTACGAAATTTAATTGCTTCTGTTGGTGTGTTACAGACTCTCCGATTGCTTTCTGTAGTGCAGACTGAATATCCTTTAACACGCCTGCAATAATCTGTTGTAGTACTTGGTCTTTGTCCGCGCTTTTTTTGGATATAGTTATCAACAAGTCTCCAATTCTGGTTTTATTTCGTCTACTGTCATATTTACTTGGTCATCAGGGACATCTTGTTTGATACGACGCAAGATTTTGGAATAATTGACTTTTTCGGTAGGCCGAAGCAATAAGGCATTTTATTTGGGAAATATTCTAAGATTTTTTATCATTTTATAATTAGAGTCTTATTCTGACAGATGTACCTTAGCTTTGTTTTTTTCTGTTTCCTCGGCTGAACTTTGTGCCAGTCATTTACCTCGATTTGTTATTCGTTTTATATTTCTATAATCGACTGACGTCTTGGCAAACGATTTTTTCATTAAGCTGACTGTTTCTCATATTTTTGAGTTTTGGTTTTTGCAATCGCTTGTGCCCTGTCGTTCACTTTCCTCTACAGTGGCATGTTCTACCACTTCGGACATCACTTATCACTACTTCATCCTTATCATACATGGTTCGGCCTATTTTCTCTTCCCATTGCTTGTCTAAATCAATAATTTTTTTTTATTACGGCCGCTATTTTGCCTGCTTTTAAATTGACTTTATCATGTATGTTTGACTTTGATTTGACAATCTTGTGCAGTTTATTTATCAATTTTTCAAGGATCTTCAATGACTCATTCCGTTGTAAAATGACGTCTGAAATTGTATGTGACAGTTCAGCCATTGGTTTGACGTTTGGCGCCAATGTTAAAAAATTTCTAACTTTACTTGTTTTTGAGATATTGGCAGTGGACCTTTTTACCCACGAACTTTTAAGCTCCGCTCTCCCTCAATGTTTTTTTTTCGACTATATATTCATTTTTCGCCAGAAGCAAAATTATAAAATATTTTTCAACCAAAAAACAATAAGATTGTCATTCGAAAGTGACAAATGAGTACAAATCTTTGAGGTCCCCGACGTGAAAAGCGCGGCTCGCGCTTGAAAATATTTAATATCTTTCGATGTAACAAAGTCTCCAACAAATTGTAAAAAGAATTTTGTTGCAGAGAAAAAAACAAAAAATATGTTTTCTTTGGATCGATTCAAGTTGGGGTAAGGCTGAGTGAAACCTTTGTAAATATTTAAGGGTTGTTATTGTTGAGAAAATTGCAAAAACAAAAAAAATTTTAATCATTACAAAGTTCACTTCAATATGAGTGTAATAAAAAAAAATAATACTGATCCGATCAGCACATCCGGAGATAATTAATTTACCGCAGATGATGTTCATAGAAATTGAGCAAAAAATCCATATTTCAATCGTAAATATTTATGTAAAAATTTTTTTTTGAGCAAAATCCTGAAATACGTGTCAAATGATTTTATGAATAGTATCTGTAACCAAATTTTCAGACAATTCTAAAATGTAAGGTTAATTGGTGTTCGGTTTGTAAAAGAATGACCCATATCTATATATATTGTTACAGAATTGCTACCTGCCGATTTCGCAAATTGCGCGCAGTTAGTTCCTTCGGCGAACGACAACGCATTTCATACGAATTAAACGCCGTAGAAACAGAAATTCAAGGACAAGTAGTACCCGCAAATAGACTTGCGGTAGAGAAGAAAGTACGACCAAAATCTGTGCAATGCCCACGCGTAAGAGAAACAGCAAGTAACGGAGCTTTACATGAAAATATCGTTGGGTCTTCGGATGAGGGAATTAATGGAGCTCCGAGATCAAATGAGCAGCAGGTAGCATAGTAAAAATTAGACTAATTTGAAATATATATTTTTAAATACAATTAAATTAAATACGGAATCCTTGCAAAGACTGAGTTTATTTTATCAATTACTACAGTTTCATATATGTTCGGTGTCTATGAATTCAATTCTCAGTTCCCGTGGAATCCTCGACCCGAACGGACGTGTTGCGCGAGCTTTCGAGCCAATAACTAGTGAGGCGCATGGAATCGTGCCTTAAGGCAAATTTCTGGAACTTTCCGTAACAAAAATTATTATTATTTTTAAAGAAATATTTTTGAAAAAAAAAATACTTTAAAAAAATAAGGTTTTTGAAAAACTATAAGTATTTAAAAAATTTTGGAAATTCTGAACTTTTTTTTCAAAGTAATCATACTGCTTTAACTGCATAGAGATGAAATATCGAAGCGCGTAAGCGCCGCTTCGCCGTCTAACGGATAAATATTGGTACGGAACCAATATGAATGTTAACAAAATTTATACTTATTGTTAAAATCTCTATAAAATATCTAATAATTTGATGTGCATATGTCTAATGATCATTTTTGATCGCCAAATGGCGTTTTTTTACTTTTTTTACTAGATCTCCGAAACCGCTAGACCTGCCTTCATGAAAATTTGATCAGTTGTTCATCTTATTAATACAAGTAAATGATTTGTGAATTATTGAAATCGGACGCTCCGTTCTCTTAAAAACTGAGTTACCGTTTTTGGCACTTTTTGCCCCGTATCTTCGAAACTTATGCCAAAAACTAATCAGCACCTCTCCTTATCAACAGCAATCAACAGTTTTGAATAATTGAAATCGGTTGAACCATGTTCTCAAAATCGTCGACGAAAATTTGTACCCGCACACACACACATACATCAATTTTTTCTGTGGTATGCCAAATATTCAGAAAACTCAAAAACGTAAAGATATATAAAATTTTTCATTTTCGATTTTTTGCGATTACTATAACTTGCCCCATGGGAAGTTAATAATATTGTGTAGTTATTTATAATCAATACTAATATTATGTGTAGTAATCCATAATCAAGACTTTTTATCATTTTTAACTTTCCGTGGGGCAAGTTATAGTTATCGCAAAATAATCGAAAATGAAAATTTGATATATCTTTACGTTTCAAAATTTTCTGAATATTTTGGTATACCTTAGAAAAAATGGATGTATGTGTGTATATGTGTATGTGTATTTTTTTATAGAGGTGCGAAAAAAAATCTCCATAAGCAGACAACGCTAGACGGTAGTGTGAAGATTTTTGCGACGCCTTCTTCTTACTACTGGTCCCTTTCTCCGGTTTTATTCTTCAAAGGTGCTGTGCATATGCTGCTAAAGCTGACCAGTTTTCTTCCTGTTTCATCATGTATGTCACAAGATTTGAGAAGGTGAGCCTGGTGCTTGGTGCCTGGTGCCATTCAAAGAACGTGTGCTCAGCGTCGTCGATTTTATCTGGACAGTATTTGCACATTGGCGTGCTATGCAAGCCCATCTTAAAAAGATAAGCATTAAACTGTGCATGTCCTGTCAGTAGCTGGGTCAGAAATAATCTGTGTCTCCGTATTGTTGAGAAAGCCAGACGCTAATGTTCGGAATCAGGCGCGACGTCCATCTGCCCATCTCTCCTGACGTCCACCGATTTTGCCACTCTTGTAGCGTTTTTTTTTTATTCTCGATCTTGTTTTGTTGGAGCTGTCGCCATATATTATAGCGTCGTAGTGTTTTACTCTCTCGAATGCTAGCAAGTCAATTGGTGTGGCTTCTGCTATTAACAATACAGCTGCTTCTGAGACCGTGCGATAGAGCTCCTCGCCTTTGCACTGGTGTTTTTTGCGCCGATATGTTTTATGCTTGAGGATATCCGCCCATATCTCCGCTCCGTATAGCAGTACAGAATGGGCTACCTCAAGAAGGACTCGTCGTTTTCGGGTTCGTGGTTCCATGCAGTTAGCCATAATCCTTGACAAGTTGGATACCGTCTTGCTAGCTTTTATGCATGCACTATCAAGGTGTTCTCGGAAAAATAGCTTCTCATCTATCATTACTCCGAAGTAGCGCAAGGCCCTTGTTGACGTCAAAGTTGTCTCTCATATGTCTACAGTGAATGGTTTTGGAAACCATTTTTGTCGAGTCAAGACAACCATCTCCGTTTTTTGTTTGGCCAGCTTTAGGTGATGTTTCTCAAGCGAGGTCTCTATGGTATCAACGGTCTCTCGAACGAGTAGTTCAGCCTCGTCAGTGCTGTCCACTACGATCGTAGCTGCGACGTCGTCCGCAAAGCCCGTGAGTTCTACCTGCTTCGGAAAAGGGATCTCCAGGAGCTCGTCGTAAACAGCGTTCCACAAATCGGCTCTTAAAATTGAGCCTTGAGGTACACCAGCTGTAATCTCGTGTTCTTTATGACCTTCCGTCGTTTCTACTATCAACTTTCTCTCATTGAGGTAGTCATCTATTAGACCTAGATTCTCTGGCTTCACGTCAAAATTGTGCTCTGGAGCGTTTAAAATATCCTCCCAATTCGCACTGTTAAAGGCGTTTTTAGCGTCGAATGTAAGGAGGAGACACACTTTACGAGCTTTATGACGCCATGGTTCTCTTGCTGTTTCCGTCACCTTCCGAATCGCGTCGATCGTCGATTGTCCTTTTTAAAATCCGTGTTGCTTCTTGGCAAATCTGCGGCGCATTCAATGTCGTTGCGCAGTCTGCATTGAATGAGTTTCTCAAGCAATTTGCCGGCAATGTTTAAGATGCAGAGTGGTTAAAACGACGATGGTGTTACGGGGATTTCCTTACCTTTGTCTATTAGGACCAATCTTTGCCGCTTCCAGGCCGTAGGAAAGGTGCCGGTCGCCAGACAGGCATTGTAGGCGTTCAGAAGAATATACGTAAACTCCAAGGTTACAGTCTTGATCACTAAGGCCGGGATGCCATCAGGGCCTGGTGATTTTACAGTCTTAGTGGTTTTTGCCGCATCTTGTAGTTCCTTGACAGTGAAGGGTGTAGTTTTACTGTTTTTGTCTCCTTTTCCGTTGTTTAGGAAATAGTTCCGCTACGATGCAATTCATCAGAGCAGGAGATTTTGGTGCTTCTGGTATAGCTCTACCAAGTCGTTTTGTAACAAAATAATAGGCTTTGTTCCAGAGATCTTTGTCAAGATCATTGCAAATCTCCTTCCACAATTCGGCTTCAGCTGATCTTATGGCTTCATTTAGGGTCTTTTTTGCCTGCTTGTACTCATTTGTATACAAATTTTGGTAGCGGGAGCTTTTTGCAGCTCTTGTGGCGCGGCGACGTAGTGCGTGGCATCTTTTCAGTAGTTCTGCTATTTATGATGACCACGAATATGCTGGTCTGTGTATACCCTGATTTTTTGGTCGTGGCATAAAGGCGTTACATGCGTTGATAATAGCATTCATAGTTCTAAGGACTGTTTTTTCCGTCTCTCTGCGGGTACTTAGTATTGGATTAACTTGAGTAGATGTGTTTTGCTCGAGGGCTGTTCCCGACGCTTCAGGGTCAAGCTCCTTAGCATTCCACCTCCGTTTGTAAAAGTTGCATGGTCGAGTCAGACCAGATCCAATACTAAATGTCACATGTTGATGATCACTGCCACTATACTCTTCAGATACAGTCCAGTCTCCAATCATGTTCGCTATTCTTGGAGTGACCAACGTAATGTCGAGGATAGATTTCTGATATCCTGGTTTTCTAAAAGTTGTAATACTCCCAGTATTTAGCACAGTAAGGTCCAATCTTGCAGCAAAGTCTGCCACGTCATTTCCTCTGGTGTCCGAGTATTTGGCGTCCCATTCATCCGATTTTGTGTTGAAATCAGCTACAATGACTAATTCGCCGAACTTGCCGAGAGTGTCTTCTATGCTTGCCATTTTCTGGCGAAATATGCTAATCCCTTCATTTGGTGAAAGGTAGATGCTCACGAATGATCCAGACGAAACCCTCTCCGCTTCCGTTGTCATTGACGGTGATCTTCTTTGAGTTTATGATCCATATTGCTGCCGTGCCAGATTTATCTGCGAACCATGATTTATCCTGAATATTCATATATTGCTCGCAGATAAGGCAGATATCGATCTTATCTTCAAAGATACGTTGGCGCAGTAGATTCTGCGCCAAGGCACATCTATTCAGATTATCTTGTAGAATCTGCATCATTTCTGTTTTCTCGTGGCTTCGGCATGTGCTACACGGCATGCCTTACAGGTACCGGATTCGGAGACATGGCTCTAGCTGTTCCGATCTTCTTTGTCTACTGTACATAGGAAGCATTTTGGCTTTTCCGTGCAGTCTACAGACTTATGATTTTCCCAGCCGCATTTGTAGCAAAACTTGCTTCTATCTGGTTCCCCGCATTTATGCGTTTGGTGTCCGAAACCGAGGCATCTAAAGCAGCGGGCCACATTAACAACTGGGCGAATGTGACAGTTAACCCACCCAATTCCTATGCTAGCCCTATTTAGGGCTTTGATTTCATTGGCATCATCTATCTCACAAAGGACTGCTCGTTGTCCTCTTGATGTGACTTTAGTCCAGTTCACTCGTCGAATTTCCAGTTTTGTCATAAAGTCCCGATTGAGTGCTTTGCGGACATCGCTTTCGGTAGAGACACCATCAAGGTCAACAATCTCTATTGTCGTCAGCGGCGTCAGTGTTTTCACTGTTCCTATGTTTCCATTTGCTGCCCTTATCGCGGCTGCAAAGGCTGCACTATCTTCGGACTTGGAACGCATTTCCAATAATACACCTCCAAATTTTGTCTGTTTGATAGACTTTATATTCACGCCAGTCTCTGATGGGTTTACCTTTTCCTTGATCTCATTAAGAATATCAGAGTACGTTCGTCCTTCAGCTGATTGAACCAGAACAGCCTTGGTTTTCCGAATTTTCCTATGATGGCTGTTTCTGTTACTATCATTTGATTCGATTTTTTCGGTTTCCGGTTTCTCGGTTTCCTTCAAGGTTACTTTCGGATCCCGTGCCCCTTTCTTTTTCGAACTTCGTCGAGCCACTTCTTTCAATGCCAGGCTATATGTTGTATCAACCGACCTGATTAGCTCCTTTATTCTGCTGTGAACATTGTTCCTATCTTTGAAATCCTCCGCTAGCTCGTCAATTTTGGAGCCGAGTCTCTCCATCGGCGTTTCACAACATCTAGTCGATAGTGCAAAGTTTACTCTATCTCGGTGAAGATTACCGGAATCCTTCTTGCCTTCTTTTACTATAGCGGCTTTCGCTGCATCCTACTCAACGTCTATAAATACGTCACCTGTTTCTTGTTTTTTGGGTTTTCATAGTTATTCATGCTATTTAAATAGTCCCCCAGAGAAAAAGGTTATCTCCAAACGCGCTGCCTCGGGAAGTGGAGGGGTGATCAACCCTACAGCTACCTCTATTGCTGTAAGAGCTTTTGACCATTAGTGCGGAGCAAAATATCCGTTCCGGCCGTGCGCCTTCTTCCTTCATTGGCATCCTCTTGTTCCCCTGAGTGCGGCACTTTCATGCCGGGAGTTTCCACGCACGGTTCGCTATATGGATCCACACATCTCTTTCGACCAATGTCCCCTTATCCGCTTCCGTACGTGACCCTAGGTCAGATGTTGTGACCAACCTTTCTAGCCAAAAAGAAAGTTTTTGATTTTTTTTGCAATACACGGACGGTGGCTCTTACTCCTCAGCCCCGATGCCAAATTTGGTCCGCGAGGGCTGTTTTATTTCGCACCAATCCGCCAATCTTACGACCTCTCTATCCGCCACTTGGGGACGCGCCCGGTAGAAAATTGGCTTCTTCCGACGGGGTGTGTATGTATGTGGATGTGTGTCTGCGTGTGCGGATACAAATTTTTGTCGACGATTTCGGGAACACAGATCAACCGGATTTGAATAATACAAAAAAACATTCGATTCGTATTGATAAGGAGACGTGCTGATTAATTTTTGGCGAGGAAGGTCTAGTTGTTTTGAAAATACGGGGCAAAAAGTGCCAAAAACATTTTACTTGTATTGACAAGATGAACAACGGATTAAATATTTGGGAAAGCAAATCCAGCGGTTATGGACTCTCAATAAAAATAGATTTAAAAAATTAGGGGGTCAAAAACGTTTATTGGACATATTGTCATGAATCCCGCTTTTATGTATTACTCTCCTCCTTCATTCATTTAATACTGTTGTTACATTCGCGGTCTTTCTACAGCCTTACCGTGACGTCGCAATCCTGTAAGAGAATGGTTACTTCAAATCCTCCTAATGAAAAGGCGTTTGTTTGTTACTTGATTAACTAACCTATATTTACACATAATAATTGCTTATTCTGAAACATATCTTATTCTAACATGCAACTTATATCTACACTTATCTGTAACCCACGGCGCAACCAGTGTCCAAAACCTGTCCATACATCGAGCCCGATTCACTTTAATCACTTATCGTCACGTTTACATTATAAACATTTTGTTAACCCTTTTGTGCGCTGGACCGCACGTATGTCGACTCTGGGGCCATGCAGACAACTCACACCCCCGACAACGACTACCACAAGACTGTTACTAGACTACTCGCGAGCCTTCGGACACACTCCTCATCAGGGACATGGTTTACACGCATATAGGGAGAGGGGTAGTTATATGTTATTTAACATCTGTGTGTGGGTGCTCACCCACACATTCGTAACACTACCCCACCTTCTCTAAGGATCGCCCTCGATCTTTCAAAACTCCATCCTTGGTGCCGCACCAGTTTTCTTTGCTCCGGAAAGCCTAGGTGGCGCATTTCAATGCCTGCCTGCTCCTCTGATAAGACGTCGGTGGCACATTTCAATTTGTCCGATCTGCGGTCCGCTTTCCTTTCGTAGGCCCGGACTTTTCCTAAATCCGGCATAGCATCAGCATAGGCATCGATTTCCAGCGCCCTGATTCACTATTCAGATCGCAATGTTTCGCTGCACTGTCAAAGTTACTTACTTCACAACAGTCTTCAACGGACAATGAGATCACATTAGCAGTTTAATGTTTTTGGCTCAAAAAGT